TCTCACTAAGAAAAGGTTTTGGTTATTTTTTAGAGTTTCTGAAAAACTGTTTTTCCAGAAAACCAGGTCTTCAAGAGTCAAGGGGATGAATCCTTTTAGAGTTTTTATCTACACTATGAGTCCTACCAATGAGCAGAGTATGAGCTCAAACAGAGGTTATCAGTTGGTGAGGTTCCCTCGTGAATCAAAAACACTAGAAACTTCTTAGTATTATATTCGATGAAATGACGAAAAATACATGTCTAATTCAGAAAGTTCACTACCGGGTATTCATTCGCTAATTTAGTAGAAATGACTGCTTGGTAGCGTGCTTTCTAAATCAGACATGTATTATTCAAAGTCTGTGCTGACAATAGGCATAAACTGATAAGAGCAAGAGAATCAGATCCGCTTAGTATTCTTTCAAGCAAAGAAAGTTAATTACAGACGGAAAAGATCTAAGGATGTGATAACAGACACTCGAAAACAAATAAACAGAAAATAGTATAGTGGTCGTTTTGAGTTTGCACCGAAATAAAATGAGGCTTCATTTCCTGTTTTCAGTTTTTTCAAACAAGCTATAATTACCAAGATTTTCACTATTCTACACTATAGAGGGCGATGTTTTTGTGAATATCTCGGTAATAGTAGCTTGTCTGAAAAAACTAAAAAAAGGAAATGAAATTGCATTTTTATTGTTCAAACTCAAAACTTTCATCCGATGAATCTGAGTTGCTCAAAGACGAAAAATGCACAAAATAAGCGCAACTTTTTCATCTCAGTCCACGTATCATTGAAACAAACAGCAGTTGAAAGACACAGCCACAAAGTAAAAACTGATGAATGGTCGGAATTTTTCCCCGTTCGTAGCACCGTACTATAGAGGGCATTTAAGCTGGCATTGATTGAATGTTTAGTAAAGAGGTCACGATAAGGCAAAATTAGAATAACATCGACACCTGCTTACGATCGTTGATCATGTCCCCATTATTTTCACTTAGCATGTCTCGACCATAACGCTAAATGGCTAGATTATGTAATGATTGGTCGTTGGATTTTTTGTGCATACTTTTTTGTAATTAATGAAGTAATCCTCCTTATACTAAAAACTTCTACCTTAAGGCAGTGAATAATCTTATACCTAGCTAACGCTCATATACGATTCGCTCGGTCAGTCAAGCTCCGCTATACTCACAAGTACGTCAGTCTACCCAACAGTAAAAAAATTATTCACGTTCACTCAACACACTAGAAGAATACTTTAGATATCAAGCACGCATCTACAGATGACTTTCAATCAGATGCGAATATTTCGAAGCTTTAATGGATCCAGCAATGCAAAACTATTTGAAGTCTTGTGGAAGTTCCTCAGGTGTCCTACTGATTCTTGTTTTAAGACATACCACAACTTTCACTCACCGAATCACGCACGGAATAATTCCGAAAGTTTTCTGGAAATCCTCAATCTCCTAGGACTCACATGCTTAATGATTAACTATCTTTTTAGATATAGTTCTTTTGTGACTATTCGACTGTGACACTTTTCACTTATTTGATACAATTTTTTCACTTTCATCACATATCAGACCGTATCGTGGCGCTCTCGACTGTATTCACTTTTTTTCACTTGATTCTGGTAAATAAAACGTGTCTAGCATGATGTCTGACATTCTCTTAGTTGTCGTCGAAATATTTAAAATAAAATTATCGTTTGCTGATTGGCTCATCCAGGGAGTATCTGACGACCATTTTTCCATGTTTTGCCTCACATACAACAGAACTCTTTTGTAAGGAATTAGCACGAGTCAAGGAGAGCTTTTGAAATAGAAATAAGGTCTAGCGTGAATCTTTTTCTGTATTGTCAGTATTTATCTGGGATTTTTCATATGGTAAAGATGAATCGATATCTCGAAAACAAATTTGAAAAATAAGCAACTGTTATTTGAGCGTATCAGATGTTTTTTTTGCACGATTGTACTTTTATTCATATACACGATACATTCTGATTGTCCTTTTAGATTTATAAAATAAAAATGGCTGAACAAACACATGTATTTCAAGTTGAAATGACGTGCTCTGGCTGTTCTGGGGCGGTCGAAAGAATATTAAAAAAAACGCCCGACATTATATCGTCTAAAATCGATTTGGAAAATAAAAAGGTTGAAGTCACAACAACAAAGAGTCAGAGTGAAATGGAAGAAATTTTAAAGAAAAGTGGAAAAGAAGTTAAATATATTGGTGCTACATAGAAAAGAAATGACGAACAGTCCTTTGATAATGACACACATTTTTCTCATCTTGATTGAACTTTTTATGTTTTTTAACTTTTTTTTCCCTGTGCAATTCGGTAATACTTTTATGTCTGCTTTGAAAATTTGACGTTCGTATTTACATTCCAAATTATAAACAAGTTTTTAATTTGTTTTACTATATTTAAATCATTTTAGTTTTATGTGAATTTATTTTTATAATTGCTTTTACAGAGTAGAGACTTGTTTGTTCTAGATGGCACAATTCCTATCCAACGAAGATGAAATTCTGGAAACATACGATTCGTCGTTGAGTGCATCTAAAAGAGTAAAGTAAGGTCATATTTGAGTACTAACGAGCGAAGGTTTCCAACTGTGGGATCGATTTTGACCCCCATTTTGGGCATCTACATGAAGACCTCGATGAGACTAGAAAAAGCTAAAAATATTTCGTGTCCATCGTCCTTCCTTGTCGAGATATCGAGTTTTTACTCTCTGCATAACAAAAACTTATTTGCCTTTTGAGCCCTCTGTTTTGAACTAATGGATATGATAACTAACAAAGAAGTGTTCAAAACAGAGAGCTTAAAGGGTAAATAAGAAAAAAGCTCCGTTAAAATTATTATGCCTTTGAATTTTAGTTTTGCTTCAAATATATCAGTACTTCTTGTTTAACAAAATCTTATTTTATATTCTTTCAAGAACTTTTAACTGCACCAGTTTTACAGTTTAGCAGTTACAGCAACGGGTAAAAGACATATTTCGGAATGGGTACAAAATTTTTGGAGTACCACTCTAGAATGGTGGACTGCCATTCTGGAATAAACGAAATTTTTTCAGTTTTAGTCTAAATCTTGGCTTACATACGGCTAAGTTCGGCTTCTAAAAAATGGAATGCCATTCTGGAATGAGTAGACGTATTCCGGGATGGGTACATTTGGCTTGTAGTGCTTTCTCCCCCTTGAGTTACAGTTAACTACCTTTTAACTATAACTGATGCATACTTAGCTACAAGTGATGACGACTTTTGTCGGGCGAAACATTTTTTCTTCCATCTTTAGATGAAGGGAAAAGACTTTTAGAAAAAGTTGGAAGAAAAGATGCACTTGACTTACTCTTACTGATTCGACAAAAAGGATCTTTGAGGCATAAATTGGCCCGATGACGTGTTTCTTCATCACCTGTAGTTGGTGTCGGCAAACCCGCTGTTTCGAACACTTCTTTGTTAGTCATCATATTCATTAGTCCAACTGACAGATATTTCATGTGTGTGTAAGTTTACGTGAAAATAAAAGCAGGAAACTTCTCTTCGCTACCTATATGATCGAAAAATTCGATATCTCAAAATGTTTACAGTCAAGCGGGCTGAAACTTTTGGTACAGCTATCCAATACTCAGATCTGTTTGGGAAAAACTTTTGGTTGCTCAACGCATTACAGAGGGAGAAAAAGAAAAAAAATCGATAAAATATTAGTTTTTGTTATGCAGAGAGTAAAAACTCGATATCTCAACAAGAAGGGACGGTGAGCACGAAATATTTTTAGCCTTTTCTAGTCTCATCCAGGTCTTCATGTAGCCAAAAGATGGGGATCAAAATTGATCCGACAGGTGGGGATCTTCCTTGCTAAGAAAAAAAACTACGTCATTGCGTTATTTTAGGCATCCGATTGCTGTATTCTTCCATATAATATTTCGTTCATTAGCTATTGTTGCGTATTTTATGTGTTCGTGGGGTAAATCAAGTTTTGCTCTGTGTTTCATTGTTGTTATTATATTTTTATCAATGGATTTTTGGACAGTAAAAAATATTACCGGTCGGTTGTTAGCAGGTTTAAGATGGTGGAACTACGTTGATGACAATGGAGATAATCATTGGATTTTTGAAGCAAAAAGAGTATGTTGAAATAATAACATTTCACATAGAACTTTCCTACAGTATGATATTATAACTTTTATTTTCTGCTTTAAGGGTGTACAAAAAAATACTATTTCGACTTTGGAAGCAAATATTTTCTGGTTATCATTAATTTTTACACTTCTTTTGTGGATAATATTTACCATTACGACATTATTCTCTCCTACATACATTGTAAGTTGTTTTTTGTCATCATTAGAATTTCTAACGTGACTAATTGATTGATGAGAGCGTTAACTCATGCTTCGACGATGCTACTTTAATATGCTAAATCATTCCTTTTTTCTATACTATTTAGATAATCACTGGTGTGGCGTTATCACTTAACATTGCAAATTTGTATGGATTTATAAGGTGTAAATTTGGCTCGAATGAAAAAATATCCAATGTTGCCGGAAGCTATATACGAGAGCAAATGTTTAAAACAGTGTTGTCGAAAGTTTCAGGAGGTTCCGAACAACAGCAACCTACCACTTCATCTCCTGGCCAACAACAATCACCTTCCACAGCACAACAGAATAGAACTATCTTTGGACCTTGATAAGTTTGATTATTATTTCCGTTACTATCCCGGTCATCCTTTTCAACAGTATTATACAACAATTTGTCCGGCGTGTTATTCTTCAAATTCCTGCCATTTCTGGTATATTAATGCAATTAAATGTTGAACCTTTTGCTTTTTATCAGTAGCAGTGACAAGTCCCGTTTGTTTTCATACTTAGTTAAACTGTTTTCTTACATAATATTTTATTTCTCTTATGAGAAAACACATTTATCTTCCAAAATATCCAGATATTCCGTGTAGTTTACCCGGTTGTATATTAAAGTATTATATCGATTTCTTTCTGTTACTTTCTCTGTGAACTTGTTACTATTTTATTGCTTTATAATTCATTCTTTGGTTAAATATTTGTTGATTTGTTATATTAAAAAATAGAAAACGTTTAAGAATATTGTACAATAATTGATGATGATCAGTATTGAAGATGATCGCATTTGATGTCGTATATATGAAATCAAGCCAAATTTGTGATATAAATTTTGTCTGGAGACTTCGGCACAAAAACTTTATAATGTGTACCTTCATTAGAATATTGTCGACAAAACAGTGGCAGAGACAAAGAACGTTTGTTTTCTTTTCAATTCCTATTGTTTATCTATTTCCGTAAACTATTAGAACACGATCTTCCGGAGCTTGTATATTCTTATTTCATTAGCTGTTAAGTTAGAGTTGAACATTTCCGTTCGGTTGAACTCTGATCATGCCACGTTTACAGCTGTTGCCATACAGAGTTACACTGGCAGTTACTAGTAGGATAACGGTATTGACTATTTCAATCGAAGATACTTTTTGTGAACAAGACTGCATTTTTCATCACTGTAAAACTGAGGGAAACCATAATTTCTTGTTGAAATTTGACCATTTCGTTTGGTTGAGTTATGATTAGGCCAAATAATTTTAATAACTACAAATTAAATCGAGTCTTATATCGATTTGTACAGTCCAGTCATCATCAACTGATGTGGTTAACCAACAATGTCAAAAAAATTTCGCAATAACTGTCAAATGAACTATGGTTGTTGTACTACTTATTTTGATGATTCGGTACAAGTCAAACATATTCAGGTCCAATTAATGAAAGTTTTCGAGTGTGACATGATCTCGATATCAAATACATAGCATGTTTCAACTATTCGACATGAAATTTGTCCCATTGACAAATAACGATAATAGTGTCTCTGAACTACTTCAATTGAAAACGAAAGAATTGACATATAAATTCAATGAAAACTTTATTTCGCTATCAACTTGTGAGTTTTCAGATGATAATTTCAAACAGCCTCATCGTTTTATCGATGAACCACGTAAAGATCAACGATCTGAGAAGCGGAAAAGATATTCTAAATACGTGAAACTGCGAAATTTACAAATTTTATTAAAGCAAATAAATAAGACTGTCTAATGAATAAGGAAAAACATTCTAACATCCAAAAAAGTTGAGTATCTCTTTTTAGTTAATGATCTAAGGTAAAATGCGCCATAAATCTTTTTGTTCAATATGAATGAAGTAACTTTAATTTCACATTTGGTCTAAATGCTGGTGTTGCTGCTTGTTAATTGACACAGGGAACAATTATCGGTAAAAAAAGAATGTTCTCCATTTTCCGATAATCTCTGATAGAAAACGATTCAGACGTGCAGTTTTCTCCATTCGAAAGAGATTTTCAGAAGAAGCTTTTCTCTAAAAGATCAGCTCATGGCTGAAAAAATTCGATTACAAATAAGTTATGTTGATTTTTTTCATGAGCAAGTACAATGTTTTGTTTGGATTAAGCACTTTAAAAACCTAATGAAAAATCCGCTTTAAGTGGAGCAACCAGTTTTCCAGATTATTTTAATTAACTTATGAATGATTTATTTCTTTTTGTTTTGGCTATTGTGAAAATTGTGTTTTTATGTGAATAAATAAACTAATATAAGTCGAGGACATGTTGAATGACAACCTGTCATGTCTCGACTTCACAGTAAAGATTTCGAGAAACAACAACAATTGCACAAGCATCAATAGACGTTATCTTGGAGTTTCAAAGCTGATGTAGCATATGACAAAAAGTAAAATCTGTATATTTATCTGAATTATGAAACTTCTACTTGACAACCTTAAATTGGAGTTATAGCAAAGTAGAATTACGTCATTTGCATTTACATATTACAGCATATTTATGCATATTTTTTGTTCAACCTTGATTTTTCTTCACAAAAGCACTGAATAAAACGGTAAGTATTCCCATAGCTCATGAATCAAAATAGCTAATAACTTCGAACTTTGTGTTGTTTATAGTTCTTACTAAAGATAGACAACGGTTTTAAACCTATTAGGCTGACTTGTTCATGAGATACAAACGCTCCATTATTTTCAATGAAATGAAACTTAATTATTATATGGTTCCGAAGAGCCACGACACATGAGTGAACGGTGATGCAGCATATATAGAAACACGAATTTGAGGAACTAAGAGTTATCTTCTCAAACATATCTTCTACAAGTCATCATAACTATGGAGAAATATAATCATAAGATTTATGACAAACATTGCTACTAAATTCTGGCGCATTCGGGAACATTTAAACCCGTTAATATTAAAAGTGCTGTCATCCTTTGTGAAAATACCGGTGCTTAGAATTCACACACCGTGACAATTTTCAACGTTCTTACATTTTCCCAAAATAACAACAATAGTGTTATATTATTCCTCTCAATAATCGGTAATAAATAAAATACGAATATATATAGAGAGAATAACCTTCGTTCATTATGTATTGATCATGATCAACAATAAAAAATCCTATCGCTAAACTATAAATAAATATTTCATTATAGAAAAGGTTTATGTTGTCTCTTCATTCAAAAAAATAGAATGTACAAGTTCACACCATTTATACTTGTTCTAAGTTTAGGTTTATTTGAGATAATTCATTCACATGGATATTTACAAGATCCACCAGCAAGAAGTTCGGCTTGGTTATATGATGAGGATTTCCAAAAATGTTGTCAATATTACAACCATATGGAAATGTTCTGTGGTGGCACTAACCATCAGTGGATCATAAACGGTATAGCAACAAAATCTGTTTCAAACCTTGCTTTGACTCGTCTTTTCAGAAACAAACACAAAACTTTTCTTTTTTCACTTTCACGTTTTTTTTTGAACATTCTGGAGAAACAGAAGAGGTTAAACACAACAGGTTCTAATTGATAATTCAGGTGGAAAATGTAGCATTTGCGGCGAAGCGTATGATTTACAACCACAACTGTTGGGAAAAGGTAATTCAATGTACCTTGGAAAAATTGTTCGAACATACACACAAGGCTCTGAAATTAGTGTGACAGTGGTTGTAAGTATAATTAAAAAATATTTTAACAAGTTCTTTATTTACGTTAACGTTTTATTTGTTAAAATAGTTATCTGTTAATCATCTTGGTCATTTTGAATTTCGCCTATGTAATATTGACGATTTAACAACGGATGCCACACAAAAATGTTTAGATGATACAGTGTTAAGTATAGCCCACACCAGTTCGACTACATTCATAGTTGATAAAAACGCCTCACGTAGTATATTTACGGTGAACCTCACTTTACCATCATCGTTGACATGTTCACATTGTGTTTTTCAATGGAAATATGTTACCGGCAATAGTTGGGGAACAAATTTACGGTCAGGAAAATCATGTCTAGGATGTGGGACACAAAATGAAGAATTCTATGGTTGCTCGGATGTTGCAATTTTAAGCTCAAATAAAGTATCAGAAATGAAAGAAAAACCTTCTTCAAAGGTCATCCTTTCATCTTCAACTGTTTTTAAGCAATGTACATCGGCTGTAACATTTGCACCATCAATGGATCTTAGTACCGTCATGGAACAATATTGTCGCACTGTTTGTGTAGTCAATTGTGCATCCGACAAACAAATTCTCAATTTATTAATGCAGCAAGCATGCATTTTATCCTGCAGAAAATTATGCATTTGTGAATAAATAGGAGGAAGACTCATTTCATACAGTCGGTTGTTATTAATATTCTTCTTGTCAATAATGTGCACATCCTTCGATCTGGTCAAGTTATGTAGATAGATTTCGAAAAATTGAGTACTTGTGTATTTCTCTGAATAAAGAAAAAAAGTATTTTGATCAAACTTAACTTCGCCTAGAAATATACGGAGCATCAAAAAACAAAAAAATGTTTTAAAATAGGCGATCATATTTCTAAAACGATGAGTATTACTTCATCTGATTGCTATTTGGATGATTGCATTACTCTTTTTGTTCATTTGAACGATTAAATTTAATAAGATCTACGAATCAAAAATGAAAAATAAAGTTGAAATTCATGTCACAATCTTGACACATATTTGTCATTTCGAATGAGACATTCATTAGACTAAACTTTATAATTTCGTATTTGTAGCAGATCAATAGTTTACTGTGTTTTCAACATAAGAAAATGATCTCGATCTATCCCTGTATTTATTGTAGTGTATTTAATGCTTGTTCTAAAAAGTCAATATAAGGTTTTGTCGTTGAATCCATACCATCATTTACAAACACTCTTAAAAAAATAAATAAATATTTAAGTAAAGAACTCAGCTAGAAGTATATACGCTTACATCTTTTCAAACTCGCCTACTGACTTTTGACTAAAATTCATTAAATCATTTGCATTTATGTTTGCTATAACTGTTCCATCGAGACGATGTATCATAGATTCAACTGGAAACTTATAAGAATCTAAAGCACATTGTGCTCGATGAACATTTTCCACATCCGATTTGTTGTTTAGAATAGCCTATGAAAAGAAAAATCAGATCAAAACGTTGTATGAATTCATGTAAAGATAAAAAGGGTGAACCTTTAAATCTAAAACAAGAGTCCATGTAGAAACAAAATATTCTCTCAGCAAATGTTGAACAGCCGAACTTTCGAGCACTGAAATTGAAAAATAATTGTTTTTTTTAATATAATAAAATAGTATTTTAATTTCTTTCCCATTGTTCGTTTCTACGAACTATTTCAATCTACTCTATCAAAGCTTCAAAATTACTTACCAGTTTCTCGTAAAGTTCGGCCACTACCTAGAACAGTCAATTGTGGAATATGACTATAAAAAGACATTTATCAAATCTTTCTCACCTCAGCAACTTTGATCGTCCAAAGAACCCCATAAAACAATTGAATGAACAAACTTATTAGTGCGTTCAGCTATTTTAAACGCGTCTCGAAATTCATAATATGGGATCTTTAATACAGAGAGATAGAGAGAAAACATTGAATCGGCAAATTATGTTAAGAATTTACTTCTTTAAATGGATAAAAGGTTTTTTCTAAAATTGAAAGTACTTCTTCTTCAGTAATTTCATTGTCCCACTTGTACGATATTAATAAATCACTATAAAGTGTCTCGTTCATCGGTTTCATAAACTGTAATCTTAAATCTGCTTCCATTGTCATGTTATTGTCTGTCACAGCATTCTGCAAAACTTTCAATGATGGAGCAGAAGAACGAAGTTCCATTTGTGGCATATAACCAATATCAACTTCCATATTAGATCCAGTACTGCCATCAGACAACCATTCCATATCTGTAATATCATTTTTCAACATATGCCAGCATTCTTTGACGTTTTATACGCAAACTAATCAGTTATAAATACTTACCAACATTAAGTTTTTTGTTACTTGGAACATGCATTCGAAAATAAATAATTTCAGTAGCATCCTCTTTTATCACCAAACGTCCTTGGAACTGAGCTGGTGTATACCAAAATGGATGATACGGAGCAGTATTTAATTGATATTCAGCATGGATTCTAAATTGAAAACAACTGTCCGTTATTTATCAATATTCTAACGCCAAGGAAATCAAATGGCTCGTCGTTCTCGTATTCAAAGAGTAAGTCTGAAGCATTCTAAACTTGCTTATGTTTTGTCGCAAAAACAAATAACAAAATATCTTATATTAAGCTTTTCTATGAATACAAGTATATTTAGTTGTTAGTTAAACTATAAATTTTAGAAAAAGATAAAGAAAATTTATATCATCTGTTACAAATGTAAGGCTACCGCTTCGACGCAGCACCGCCTGCTATTACCCAAGCAAAAACGACCCAATTTTTTGGGTTATTTATCTAGATTCAACTCCACGTACATCTAGATGCACGTGGAACTGAACCTAGATAAATAACCCAAAAGATTGGGTCGTTTTTGCTTGGGTATATGGCCTAAAAATCGGAAGATATAAATGCTCATTATATAGAGCATCAAAAGTTACCCAAAGAGCGACTTTTTCTAGCTGAAAAATAAACATTGTTTGACTTCAAACTCATTTTTAAAACCAGAACTCTTCATTGCATAGTTGAGTACTTTGTAGACTTTGTGGAATCCGTAAGCAGCAGTTCAAGTAGATAATATAATAAACTTTTATAAAATAAGGTAAAATAAATTTGTTTACCTCCATTTTCATGTAACATATTTTGAGATGTCACTTAGATTTGATTGAATTGTCTATGAGAGATCAAAAGTCTTAGGAAGTCAAGTGGCACACATCTTATCAAGAAAGTCGGTCTTTAGATAACTTTTTGAAATTTTCATTCATCGTATGTATTTAGTATGGTGCTACAAATACAAATAAAACTTTGAGTTCCTACATAACATTTAAAGATTTTGATATTCAAATTGTCGGAATTAGGAAAATATTTGAAATAATAGTTTTTAATTATTTCAAATTTCTACTTATAGACGACATAAGAGAATAACAAAAATATACTGATGCTGGGGTACTGTATCATTGCTAAGCTTTTTTTAAGTCAATTCATGCCAGATTCTTGAGATCTATTTTCCTTAAAGACATTGAGAGAAGTATTATCGTTCATCTTCATATAATAGTAAAGTCGAATAAAAAAGCAGATATCACAACAAAATATTAAATAATTTCAATAGTCCTACTATTATTATAACTGAATATTTAGTTGTATATTAATCTGTTTTCTATTTCATCTTTAATCGCTGTTAGATTTGTCCCTTCTTGGTGAACCTTCTCTTAACCAAGATCTTGATAAGAAAACGGAAAAAATTCTAAGAAACCAAGATCTTGAATATCTTGAAGTTTCTTGAGTTCTTGTACCAAGATTTTGATAATTCTTGGATCACCGTTTTGTTTCATACTCTTGCTTATATACAACTTGAAAATTTTTCCTTTCTTGAACATGAGCCTACGACCACGTATGGTTGAATATCTGGTGGTTATGACTGTCATATAAGAAAGAGAATGTCTAAAATTTTCATCATAGCACTTTGAAACATTTGAACTCGATTCACTCAAGATCTTGAGTACAAGCATCAAGAAGCCAAAATATTGATTTCTTAGTGTTCTTTTCAACATCTTGTGATATTTCTTAACGCAAAATCTCTAAGTTTCAGTAGAGCCTATCTTCGAAATTCAGGAGTCAAATTTCTTAGAAGACTAATAAATCAACTCACCTGAATATGATATCGAGATAGGGACCGTATCGAGCTCGAACAACAGCCAACGCACCTTGCGGTGGAAAACGTGAAAGTATGAACGGGCGTTGATGAAACATTTCCAATAATCGATGAATAATAATATGCTCGTCGTCCACTTCTGGTGGATAATATCTGAAAATAATAGAATGGAATAAAGAGGTTCATTCATACAATTATTTCACTACCTATTAGACGATAAGTGTTGAAGATTTCTATGCTGATCACTTTTCACTTTAATAAGCCAATAAGGTTGACCAATCTTTATTTGTTTTATTTTCGGCAAAAATGATTTAAAATGTCTGACACCGAAATTCATATGGGCTATGTGAGGATGTTTCCATGAATGAAGAAATTGTAATTCATCAAGATTAGTCTAAACAAATTTCTTATCCCCTACAGAATCTACATTTATCATCTCCATATAGAACATTACCGTATACGAATGTCGAAAATCTTTTGTCATCGTGGAAATGTCAAGTGGTTGAAAATAGGCATTTATTGTCAATAATTGATCCGAATCTAATATCGGTTGCTCGTACAAGAATGTAAACTATAATTAGAGAATAATCAATTAAGCTGTCTTTTTAGCATGCGATAACAGGCAATTTACATTAACATTTGCAAGTTTTTTAGCTATTGGTTCAAATTCATCTATTGATAAATAATTATCATCGTTTCTATCGTGTTTTTGAAATAAAAACAGAACTTCGGGTGAATAGTCATGAAACTGAACATCTTCGATTTCAAAAGTCAGTTGACGTTGAATTAACAAGAAAACCAAACAAGTTGTTATGATACAAGTAACTAGAATCACTAAACATTTTCTTTTAACATTGTTGGATCTTATATCAACGCTTTTTTTAAATAGTGATGGGTGATTTGTCGAAGAGGATGCTCCATTTCCATCATCTGATCCAGTTAATCGTTGTCGAAGGTCTACCATATGACACTACACGAAATCAATAGCACTTACATTGTCATCTAGCAATTAATCCTTCATACCTTTTGTTTAATTACTACATCTTTAGTACAAATATACAATGAAACAGGCGATAAATTTTGATAAGATTAAAAATATGTCGCTTTTGAATAAATCATCATATAAGTGCACACATTTTTCACATGGCAATGATGGGAATAAAACCAAGTGTTGATTAAAGGCAAAACATGATCACGCGTTTCTAGCGTTGATTTTTTGGAAAAGATGAAAATATATGTTGGTTTATTCAACCTGATAATTAAAATCTGTTACGGAATTTTGAAGAAATTTTATTTTGTTTTTTCATATATTTTGTATTTTTGATGCGATAAACGTAAATAGATAGATGACGATGGAATGACTACAATGTTGCGTGAAACGAGACAAAATAGCTTTCTAAGCTTTGTTCGAGACAAAATGAAAACGTCATGAGACAAGATGAGATGTTCGAGTATGCCATTTTGCTCACCTCTAATCTGCATGCCAGTAATAATACTACTAACCGACAGAATCGTTGTCGTATCAAAAAGGCATTGACTTATTATAACGATAAATATCTCATTAAGCCGACAATGGAATGAAAGGATCTCTGTGTAGACATGCTCTTGGGTTAACTAATCTGTCTGCAGATTCTATCAAATTAATGGTAAGACGTGTATTCAACTATCAGAACAAACATGAAAACTTCAGAATGTTCAAAGAAAGTATAGTACATGTTTGTATTTTTAAACAGGTATATTTTCACTTACTTTAAGTGGTAGTATTACTATATAACGGATTTGGTGATTATTTGTATGTAATAATGTTTGATGATCAGAAAAATTGATACCTATCAAAAAACATTAAAGGAAAGACAAGTTGAAATTTATCTAATAATTCTAGTAAAAATCCTAATTTCATTACTTATTAAGTTCTGATTATTAATTATTAAGGTACTTATTCTGAGAGTGTTCATTATCTACAATCTATAAACATTTTAATTCTTATTTAAACGAGATACACAAGCATTGACATCTTTAACTGGGGGGGGGGAAGGCAAACAATTGACTGTAGCGCTATTTCTATCACTACAGTCAATTGTACCCCTTCCCCATTCCCTGTCCAGGTGTGTGTAACAACGACATCGAAGTGATCAATCATTTTCATTCAAACAGAGTGTCTGTTGTATATACATCACTTACTTACTTTTAACGCACCCAAATCATTTCAAAGACTTTATTGTAGTCGTGCATAATCAATCAAATTATTTTATTATAGCCATGATTGCAAGCGACATCAATTAAAAAGATGCTTATTTAACAGAATTTTACCTAATAGTGCAGTGGTTAACCATTCCATATAATGTTTTTTTCTACCATTTTGTGGATCTAAGAGGAAAAACCAGCGAGACCGCGAGAGAGAAGATAAGATTGATACCATTCTTAACCATGGGTACTAATACTCCTAGCTTTTAGAAGACGACAGAATATATAGAATTACCAAAGAGGTTTTTTACATAAGCTAAAATTCCAGACATTTTTTATCTGTAGTTCAAATCTCGGGTGATGAGCTATGTTTAAGATTATCCTTAATCTATCACTCGTAAAAGTGAATCAAGCATAACTGATGCTCGAAATAGTCTCTGTTGATTCCAATACTGACTGAATGTTAAAAGATAATGAGTGTTATCAGCTCTTGGTATCACCGAACTTTCAGAATACTTATTATATCGTTCTCTCCAAAAGACAGTGGTAATGTCTTCAGTCCAAATGGCATGAAAATTCACATTGAACAGCTTACAAATATTGAATAGTTGTACGGGATAAATCACATGGCATCAGCTGCGTTTTGCTATTATTGTGCCTAACAATGGTTAATAATAGTTTTTCTTGATGTGTGGCTGATTTAATATCAATGTTTTCTCAATTTTCAATTTTGTTATTGACAAACGAGCAAATTATTCTTTGTTGTATTCGAGAATGAGACTCTCTAAAGAACAGTATGACACCTGTACATATCTTTGTCTTTTTACGCCTCTATTTCTGAACTGTTTCGAACAATTGTTAGTTGATACCTTTCTTTTAAGATATAGCAATTTCTTTATTGTGTGTACTATCGTAGTAGTTCAGTTTTAGTTAGTTCCATACCGTAGATCTGAATTGTAAGTATAATATTGTTTAGTGGTTATTAAATGAAAGACCATTGTAAATATTTACGTTTAGATGGCGTCACATAATTCGTCAACCACTTCAGATGAACAATTTCGCAAAGTTTTTATCGGTGGCTTATCATACTGGTGAGTGATTATGCTATTGAACATCAATATATTCTTATATTTTTGTTCTTTTCTTTTCTAGTACTACGGATGATACATTAAGATCATATTGTGAGAAATTTGGAGATATTGCGGATTGTGTTATTATGCGTGATCGAGGTGGTACATCGAGAGGATTTGGTTTTGTCACATTTCGAGATCGTTCAATGGTTGACGATTTAATGTCTCAGCGTCCTCATCTAATTGATGGACGTCAAACAGAACCTAAAAGAGCTATGCCAAGAGACGAAGCATCCCGTCCAGAAGGTCAGTTAACAGTTAAAAAAATATTTATTGGCGGAATACGTGATGATATGGATGATGAACAACTAAAAAATCATTTTAATCAATATGGAAATATTGTCGATTGTTCAATCATGAAAGATAAAGATGGTAAGCTCATTGCTTCTGTCATTTTGTTATATTCACATAATGAGTTTTATGTTATTTGAAGGAAAACTGCGTGGTTTTGCATTTATTACATTCGATGATTTTGATTCAGGTATGTATTCCTGTTAGACACGCGCTTGAATGTAAAAGATAAATTTGTTTTGTGTTTTTTACAGTTGATCGAATTATATTAGATAAACCGCACTCTATTAATGGAAAAGAATTGGATGTTAGAAAGGCAATACCACGTGAACAAACGCAACGTAATAATGGAACGGGAATGAATGATTATTATTTTCGTAATAGTCCATTTGATGGTCGTTATACAATGAATATGCCTCCTTCGCCTATGCCATATGGTTGTTTACCATCCTCGTATGCTTTACAAATGTCTGACAAACCAATGCCATTGATGGCATCAAATATTGATCAACAAGGTCATCCACCCTTTCCTTCCATTATTCTTCCACCTGAAATAGCCAATTCGGCATTTTTTCGCCGGCAACCAACTTCAACAACGAATCCACAAAACAATAGAAAGAAAAGTATTAGTGGTGACGATCCATCTTATTTACCATATGATTATTTTCAAATGAATTCAATGAATTGTGGTAATGGGGTCGGAATAAACAATCGAATGAATAATAATAATCGACCAAGATATTTTAATGGTTATAGAAATGGACTTCAGCGACCTCGGTAAGTAGAAAAAGCAGAAAAAAATGTTTTATTGTATGAAAAGCTCAATGTTAGGAACTTAGTTAGACGCTGTATATATTACGTAGAAGATTTTACGATGCAACTTACATAGAATAATCATTATAATACATATAAAAGACATATCTCATTCTTGCTCGGGTTACCTGAAGATACGAATAAGCGTTTTAATTCTAAATCAAGTCATGTTGACTGTATGAGACATCTTTTCTTGTATCGCACCTTTTCAAACAGAAATTTGCTTAGACAGCACATATTTTCTTGCTGGTGCAATTTATCTCTTAGAAGGTTCAGTTGCTGCGCGTACACAACCTTACTACTTTTAGATTTAAACATCAATTCTTTAACCATTATCATTTAGGTCAAATCGGCGTAGTAATTCCATTAATGATCCAAACTCAGAACAACATCGAAAATTATTTGTTGGCGGACTATCATATAAGTAAGAGTATGGATAAATAGTGTTAATGATACGATATTTTGCTTTATTTTCTCATTAAATCTTCTAGAACAACTGATGATTCACTAAAAACTTATGTGGAAAAATTTGGCCAAGTAAATGATTGTGTGGTAATGAAAGATAAAAATAATTTATCGCGTGGATTTGGCTTTGTTACTTATACTGATGTTTCTATGATCGATGATTTTATGGCACAACGGCCGCATACTCTAGATGGACGCCAAATAGACCCAAAACGGGCAATGCCACGTGAAGAAGCAATGAATGACGATGTTCATTTGACTGTAAAAAAAATATTTATTGGTGGTTTAAGAGACGGTATCGCAGAAGATACACTGAAACAATATTTTGATAAGTACGGAAAAATTTGTGATTGTTTTATTATGAAAGACAAAACGGGAAATACACGAGGATTTGGATTTTTGGAATTTGATGACTACGTACGTATTACGATATACTTTCCTACTAACAAGAATGGCAATATTTAATTCTTTTTTAAGGACTCTGTCGATCGTGTTATACTAGATCGTCCACATACAATCGATCAAAAACGAATTGATGTGAAAAAAGCGGTTCCCAGAGAACAACGTCAGTTACAACAACAACAAGCACAAGCCTTACAGTTACAAGCTGCAGCTGCTTATCATTATCATTATGGTGCATTCGGTGGGGGAAGAGGTGGTAATAGTGGTGATATGTTACTTGGCCCCGGAATGAGGATGAATGGTATTGGACCTGATAATCTAATGTATGATGATATGTATGGACCTTTCGCTGGACCTACTGGCTCAGGAATGTACACCAGTAATATGCGCAATATTCCAAATTCAGGAGGAAGATTTGACGCACGTCTATCACGAAATAATCGCAATAATACCAATGTGAATGTCAATAACAATAATAATAATTCTCGTGAAAGACGGCAGGATCGTCAATCCCGTGATAGTCAGTAGTGTTTGTATCGTTTTCTTACTTTCATTTTTGTTTGTTTTCTTTGTATAACACTATTGTGTCTAAAAAAATCCTATTTGAGCTTACTCTTTAGCCATTTATTATCATTTTCTCTCATAAAACAGGAAATCTAGCAGTATACATGTATCTAACTCGTGGAAAGTGTACGTTTTCGAAGCCGTTTTGATTTGTGCTGTTAGTTTAATATCTACATCTCAACTACTTGATAGATTGCATCTTTAAAGGTGTGCTTTATATGCACCAGTGTCTCTCTGTTATCAAGAAAACTAAACTAAAATATGTTTCAAAATATTCATCTGTTGACATCTGTCTATTTGTAATGTTTATTACACATGAGTGTATATTTGTTGTTTTCTTTTCACTTTTATTTTATACATATGTGTTTGTTTTTCTAGTATTAGCGTATTCAATGAGCTAAATAGTTTTTTTTTGTTCGTTTATTTATTATCATTATTATTATTAGTCAATATCATCATTGTTGCCATCTTTTTTTCGTTTCTATTTCGCACATATATGGTTTTTTTTAATTTTATCTGTTGGGTTAGATTATAGACATTTACATCTTCTCAACATTAAAAAGATCTTTCTCAAAACGTATCTTGTATCCATACACATAAATGTGATTTAATTGTTCACTTCCCGGTTTTGTTTTTTCGTCGAATAATTCCTTTCTCCATATTTCAATCTTTAATTATCTATTATTATTCAACGATTTATCTCTAGTATAGTGGTGATAATTGTTTTTCTTTTAATTCTAAAATTAAAATCTCGTTTGTCATTGGTTTTTTTCTGCTTGCTTCATTGCTTTTTCTCTTTTTCTGAAATTCATCATCACATGCAAGCATAAATACACACAAACATATACACATGTTGAATACTAATGCTATTACTATCGTGCAAACGATTTTGTCGTTTTTTGTTGGTTTATTTTTGTCTTTTTCTTCCTGGCACGCTCGTTTATCATGTCTAGGTAATTTTAAAATTTTCAATAAAAAAAAGAAAATACAATCATGCGAACTGATTACCTTCAGAAAAAAAATCATCAGGTTATCGCATGTGTAAAAACTGAAGAAAACAAAATTTCTCAAAATTAGTCCGACCGCTATCTAACATTTGCGTGATCTAGCTATCAGAGCTTCGTATGGACTCAAAATTTTGAGCCAAGTTCATTCATATGGACTGGACTGCATTTTTTGAGGTCACTTTGGACTTAGTCCAATCCATACGGAGCTCTGCTAGCTAAGTCCTTTAAATTCTTTCATTTGATGATATCTAGAAACACTTTTGTACTTCTGGCCTGTTGATTGCTGCTTTGACGTATCTATATCTTGTTATTAACCAGTTCAAAGAAGCTTGACTTTGAGAGAGCTACCATTTTAAAACAAAATTAGTTTTTTTACTTAGATTCATTCTGATCTAAGACATATTCGGCCTAAACATGATTTGAGTTAGTCTTAAATTAGATATCCAACTTAAGTCACGCTTCAGTCGAAAACTGAAGAAAAAGTTAGAGTTGATTGAGAGGAACCTCAAGTTTGTCGTAAATTTCAAAATTTGAGTTAGACATGTAACTTAATTCTAGTTTTTATGAAGCATATCTTAGTTTAGTTTCGGAGCAAGCAATACTTCTCTCAAATTTACACGATTTACTTTCCGTTGATTACATAAAATATATTCCAGTTAGCCACTTTCTTGTATAGGGATGTCTTTTCCACTGACTCTTTGGATGAACAGAAATGAGCAAATGAATGTTCATTGCGACAATCAGTGTATTAAAATCCCCAATTTAACATATACCAATTACAGTAAAAACGAAAAAACATGGTTTTTCTGATGAATATTGAAAGTATCTCATACCGGCAGCTTTTAAGAACGCTGAAATATCAATACGATCCTCATTATAACGTTGCCACAATTTCATTAAACATTCATCTGTTATGACTATTTTTTGGACGTTTTGGAGTTGTGGCTTCAATATCATCTTGTACTCTTGCAATCCGGTCCATAGATATTATAATAATAATCAAGAAATCCTTGAATACCTGGATAATCTAGTGAAGTGTGAATTATTGTCTGTCAAAAAAGTGAGTGGACTAAGGGCTGGGAGAGAAATCAAGAAACCGCTATTATGCTACTCCAACGAGAAAAATGACTCCACGAGAATTTTGTATCTTTTCATAGAAACTTTCTTGTCTATGTCACGTGAATAATGTATTTATGTAAGAATTATGCATGAAAACATAGGTTATCGACTATGTTGAGTCTTGTGGCAATGTGGGTTTTAAAAAAAAAATTTAGAACTTAGCGTAACCTACGTTTTCCGAAAACTAATATTTTCCGGCTGTTTTCAGCTAATATTAAAAAAATTATAACTTACTCAGAATACATCACAGCCAGTTGAAAACTTCAGGATATGGTTACTTTTATCTACTAAACGTCATTATGGAGGCGACAAATTTGAAAAACCAATATATGTTGAACGATTTTCTAGAAGTCTTTGAAGAAAACCACAAAGTCCTCTAGATTCATTTTTGTAAGCATTTTAGGGGTAGAATATAAAGTAGTTCAGATACTATACATCCTGAAGTTTTCAACTGGCTCTGATGTATTCTGAGTAAGTTATAATTTTTTTAATATTAGCTGAAAACAGCCGGAAAATACTAGTTTTCGGAAAACGTAGGTTTCTCTAGGTTCTAAAGCTTTTTTTCTAAAAACAAACATTGTCACAAGATTCAGCATAGTCAATAACCTATGTTTGAGGATCCGAGCAGTAGCATTGCTGGTATGCCAGTTCTACGAGTCTTGTTGGCAAATCAAGTAAGTGATAAAACTCTGTCGATTCATTTAATTCGATTTTCTCTCCACTACAGGATGACGTGATGGAACGTTCTTTAAAGGTCGGTTATGCAGATATATTTTACTCTTTTTTTTATAATCACGTCCAAAGAAACATGATATCATTTTTAGCGGTGGACAATCCAATCTTCTTTAAACCTAATACGTCAATGTTATTAGAGAATTCGAAAAAAACTTGTTATAAATTATTATCGAAATTGAAAGCTGAATATGAAGAATCAGGCACAACAACAACTAAATCAGCAGCAAAAGCTCATTAAACACATTCCTTCCTTCTCATTGTATTTGCTGTACTTTCTGAATACACCAGCGAACTTCGCATTTATATTTATGAAGTATAGATATCAGTTATTTTACTCTCACACAGATATTCTAGTCAGTCCTTTGACTCTCATTTTTTTCATTTCATCAATCAAATTATTATCGCTTTAGCAGAAGAACCTGAAACCAGACGGATGATTTGCTCAAACCATCGTAAGATGTAAGCATCTGTTTTAGTGGTATTTAAATTCACAGATATACGTACATTCCCATAATACAGACTGTCTTTTTTTTATACAACTACTCTTCAAAATTTATATTCTTTGCTATTTCTGATATTTTACATAGATTTTTTACGTTTAGTGTAATGCTTTTTTGTAATAAATTTTTGTATAACATTAGTTGGTGACGAATAGTAACTAAAATGCTGAAATGTCTAGACTTAATGTTTTCGTTAATATTCTCTGGTACGAATAAAATCCATAACCTAGCAGAAAAATGCTTGATAAAAGTTGCTTTATTTCAAATGAAAGTCAAACGAATACGGCCGAAAAGTAAAGAAACACAGTAAGAATTTGTACATGTTATAGAAGTCAAGGGATATTCAATCCATGCAGACCAGAAAAGTAGTTTGACGGGTATGTCGAGAACTCGACCATTCGAAAAATGACATTCCGATCCTTCGATATAAGCGTTCGAGGAGTCATCGATTCTGCGGCCTCCGATTTCCAATAGCTAGCGAACAGAGATGCTCGAAACTTTTGAACTCTCTCTGTACATCTCGAGTGAAGTTTAATCGTTGGTGTGAGTCTTGAACATCTGTTCGAGGGCTTGCTATCTATTGGAAGTTTGAGACCTCAAAATCGAGGACCCATCGAAACCATATTTCGAATACTTAAATTATCTCTCAAAAATGAGGTTGGAAAAAGACAAGCCTGTAATAGTCAGCTTACCCGGCTGCTTAATTTTAATATAAACTCATGGACGCATAGTCCAGTCTCCCTGCTTGCAGGATCATTACCGCTTTTTAGTCCTAGACCTCGATTTTTCATGATTTTTTAATAAATTTTCCATGACCTTGCATTACAAAGTGATAAGCATTTTACTACAAGTCCTGAAATATACTTACGGATGCGCAGCATTTTCTCTCTGAATCATCTTTGCCATTTGGGACTGTTTGTATTCTCCAAAGTTTTTCTGTGAGGTGGATGTTGCAAACGTTGTGTTGGTTTCAAAACGAAGTTAACACATGTGTCTAGGATAGGACTGTAAAAGTTTTCGTTACGTTGATTGATTCTTTTAGTTACCGTTAAAGTAACGGTAACTGTCTTTTCAGTTAGCGTTAAACCAACGGTAACTGAAAAGGCAGTTACTGTTGAAACAACGGTAACTATCAGTTAGTTAACTTTATGGTGACTATTTCTTAAGTATGCTAGAAATATCCTAGAAATATGGTTTTGTGGTCCAATTTCGTTGATGAAAACAAAACAGATTTCTCAGGCTGACTGTAGATGCTGAGGTCTTCAGAGACCTCCTTAAAAACCACAGTTACAAAATATTGAAGCTATATAATTTCGATTAGTTTAGTTGATTGGCACGTGTGTGCCAATCAAAATCATGTCATTTATGAAAGTTCCAACAGTTTTAGTAGAAAACTAACGATTTTGGAAACCATTTTATTGTGAGCCTATCAAAAGACGTATCTATTTTAAAACTTAAAAATTCAATAACTCGGAATGGAATGAGCTGTAATGCTGAAACTTTTTGTGAATACCATAAGACCCATAGAAAAATATTGAGCTCTTAACTACTTTTATTGATAGAGTTATAAATTTTTTAATTTTTCCGTGTTTCCGTTTGAAAAAATAGAAAAATAGCTATAATTTTTGAACAAAGCATCGTAGGTCGAAACCCTTTTAGACACGACATCCTCTCTGGATCGAGATATAAATCATTGAAAACGAGATGGGCACCTCGATAGGTTCCTTCGTTAGCGTATATGATTATTTTCATAAACTTAATTTTCCAAATATGATTATGAGAAATCCAGAATAATAAGGAGAAAGGAACAGTTACCATAAAGTTAACTAACTGATAGTTACCGTTAGTTCAACGGTAACTGGAAACCCAGTTATCGTTAAAATAACGATAACTGTCTTTTCAGTTACCGCTGACTGAAAAGACAGTTATCGTTACTTTAACCGCAACTGTTTTTCTAGTTACCGTTGTCGATAACGGCCGAAAAAGTAACGGGAACTTTTACAGTCTTAGTCTAGGAGTCAACCGAACTCGAATCTTCACTTTTGCTGTAGTTTACAACGGAGAGAAGGATTTTTCAAAACTTTCTTGAAGACTTTTGGCTTCTGCTACCTGTCAAAAATTATCAACACAAATATTTGATTATCGTGTTTTGTCAACCTTTGACCACAAGTGTTAGCTTTTGGAACAATCAGTCAAGGTCTGATTTAAGGAATCAGTCAAGGTCTCTAGTATCCGTTTGGAAGATACAAGCAGCACCGTTTTCATTATCTAGAGTATTTGTCGTTTAACATTTCGTTATATTCTGAAAAAAATATTTGCATTTTTCCATTGTAAATCGGATGTTAAACTAAAAATGTTTTAGGCCAAACGATATACCAGAAACCAGTATTTACAACTTCTATTCAACCTTTGAACAACTTCACTTTCAATTTTTAGTTAAATATTTGTCTGGATGCACATTGTGCGAGTATCTATCTGCAAGAAAAATACGATTAGCTTCATAATTTCACTGTTATTGCAAAATCTGACAAACGATGATAAATGGAGTCAAAACAAAAAACAACCGTGAATAGTATGCTGTAACATAATCAATATTCTATGAAAGTTTTATCAACATCCGACTTATTGTTATCGAAAAAAGTTTCTACCAGATACGAAGACTTAATGTGATACCTCGATTTTGGTACAGAGGAGACGGCTTCTTGGTGATCAGAGTCAGTCTCTGTATAGAATCCCGTTGATGACGTAATTGGGCACAGAGAATGAGCTAATATGAATCTTTCTTCTAAAATCTACTTTTGAATCAATCTGAAATAACTAATTGGCGCGCCAGTTCAAATTTTCAAATTAAGTTTTGTTTTAAAAAGTAAATGGTATTATTTCTTGAAAAATAGTCATTTAATTTAGTAAGAATTATAGTTTCTCTTTACTTCACTAACCATGTTAATTAAAAAATATGATGGAATTTGATTTCTTAAACAAAACATTTATTCGATCTATATGTTTTTAAAAATTATATTTTGTTACTTTTGATTAAATTCCTATATGCATTGCAATGTACCCACGTAATAATGATGTCTTTTCTCCTCTAATCGTCTATTTCATATGTTTGGATCGGTCCTTAATCATTTATTCGCGTCAAATCGTGACGTATTTGATGCAGAGACTGCCGCAACAAATGATCAACAGCATACAAAAATACAGATGGAAGTACAAAACTTTTTACCACAAGTTTATGATACATGGAATTATTTACAAAAACTGAATATGCAAACAATGAAATTTCGTGATGTCTATTATGCTTATAAACACGAACGTAATAACGGTCAACGACGGAAATATTTTGAACAATTAAAACAATTGGATGAATATATTTATAAATTGAGTGTTATCACATACGAAAACATTTTGACATTAGAAAAAATAGCAAAACCTGCTCTTAATGAATTTAATATGTTTGAAAATATCAAAAATAAACAACAACGCCAATCATGGTATACGCCGGCCCATGTTCGCATCATACAAAATCAACTGACAAGTTTAAAATTAAGTTTTCGTCGCATAATAATGGAGCAAAATGAAATATCTCAAGAATATCAAGATTTGTTGAAACGATCCATACCAGCAAGTTTGACACGTCTTACAGTCACAACATCAACTGTGGAAAAAATAAAAAAATTATTGATTACAAAAAGTGAATCAACAAATCTTGGTGATAGTGTAGATGTACAAATGTCCTATAGAAAAAGTAATCAACACGTACAAATACAACAGCAGCAGCAACCGCTAACAGAAGAAGATATACAAATAAATGATCTGGAAACACGTTTAGAACATGTGAGACAATTGAAAGTACGTGTAAGACGAATGAATGAAATGACAATGGCAATGTATTTTGCCGTACAAGAACAAAATAATTTGACAGATAATATTTGGATGAATATATCAGCTGGATCCGATTATATTTCTCAAAGTGTAAATGAATTAAAACTAGTTAAAGAATTACAACAAAATAAAATTGGTCGTTGGATTAAGTTGTTGTGTCTCGCATTCTGTTTATTTGTTATTCTCATTATTATTCTAGTTATTGTTTATGTTGTTGTACGTAATGCAGATAAGTAGTAGATATTTCTCTACTATATTTTGTGACTTACTTTTGCCTGTTGTTAGTTCAACAAATAAAAAAAATGTGTCCATACAAAAACAAGGACTACCTTTTCTTCCACTAATACGTCTTTTTCTTTTTTGTTAATCTTTTGAATGAAACTATTGCATTCATATGCGAGACTACAGATAGAACAAGTGAACATCTTCAGCCCAATTAAAATATAAGATATCTTATTGGAATTCAATATATAGTACAGTTGCGTTACCTGATCTCCAATTTCGAAAAAAAACCGGAAAAATATGACGTATTTGATTCTCAGAATTCACAATAGGAGTTTATCAAAGGTTTAAAAATATACTCGTCTGTATGAGCACTGATTCAACTGGAAAGTTTTCTTCTCTAGACGATTTAAGTAAAGTATAACTGGAGAAATTTTGAAAGATTCTGTACATCAGCAATTTATGTACAACAACTGAACGTACAAGAGTATTTAGAAAAACAAATTTTTTTTTATTTTTTAAAACGAATAAACTCTTTCAATTGCATATGCAAAAACTAATCATCCTAATGATACTGTTACAAAAGTACATGTCGATATCGCAACAATTTCAACAACAACCACAAAAAAAGCGGGGATCATCGACGAATATTTCGGTCATTATAAAGATCATTCTGTAAAACATTTCTGATATTATGACGGACAAATGTATGGTTGTTGTTGTTCACGATATAATTCTCCGAAGAATGAGAGATAAAGAGGAAAAAAGCGAAGACTATGTGATACTATAGAAAAACACTGTAACTACGCACAGAAAATATTACATAATTATTTTTGTTTTTAGCCGATAACTATAGTATTTTCATCTTTAAATTTATATTCGGGTACTTCTAAATTTAATGGCGCTGGTCCTTTTCGTACACGTCCAGATGCGTCATAATGCGAGCCGTGACAAGGACAATAATAGCCTCCAAAATCACCAGCATTAGCCACCGGAATACACCCTAAAATAAATAAAATATTCATAAAAAAAAAAGTTATAATGGATGATCCAGAAGAAATTGTCGGCTTTTGTCATGATTTTTTTCTCAAGCTAAGATTGTTCCAAAAGTTTCGTTGTGATACTAAAAGATAGAAAATTTTGTGTAGATTTTATTCGTGTGTTCCTTTGAAAATAAACATTTCCCTATTTTTTTGTTGCAAAATAGAAGTGCTATTAGGCACAAAAAGTTGCTTTGTTCAGCACTTTGTTAGATTGAAATGCAATTTTTAGCTATTTAATAGATGCGTTGTACAATCTGAAGACGACACTAAAAAGTAGATTCAATTCTAAGTTTTCTATCGTAAAACGAAATTTTCAGACAGTGTGTTGTGATAATGAAAATCACCTAAAGTATATACCCTTTTACTATTCCCTATTCTTATCTTGCTTTATTCACAAAAGAACTTTAACTCTAGTACTCGTTTTCATTATGACTCACAAGGCGACCTCGCGAACTGTTATATCGCTTTTTCAATCAAACCTAGTGGGTTATAGGTTATCAACTATGCTGAATCTGAATATTATAATGATAGCTGCCCAGGGTTCTTCAAAGAGCGGTTTTCTAGAAAACCAGTTTTCAGAAGCTCTAAAAAAAGTAACTAGAACCTTTCTTAACGAAGCATAATTGTAGCCCGTAAATTTCTGATTAAAATGAGACATCTGCCAGCTCTACACGACCTCTCTTTGCAAATTTATAGAATTTACAAGAAAAGCCTCATTTTAATCAGAAATTTCCGGGCTATAATCATGCCTCATTAAGAAAGGTTTTGGTTACTTTTTAGAGTTTCTGAAAAACTGGTTTTCCAGAAAAACGCTGTCTGAAGACCACGAGGCTTGGCTGAAAAAGCAATGTGACAGTTCGCGAGGTTCCCTCGTCAGTCTCAGAAAAGAAATATCGTTTGTAGTGTCTACAATTGTGCATCTTTTGGTATACAAAAAGTTTTTTTCAAAGTCGTACTGTTGAGAAAAACGTCAACAAATGTGCGATCTCATTGAGTCGAACTGTCTCTTCTGATATTTCGGTTTTTACCATTAGACACAAACAAGTATGTAAAAACATACACACTCTACTAGATACACGGAAAAATTCTCTATTTTACATCACTAGAATCAAATTTTGAAACTAAACTGAACCAGTTTAAAAATTAGTTTGACAATTTGCTGAGCGTACGTTTGACCAATTCAATTTTCTGAGCAGTTGTAACTTGAATAAAAAGTCATTACAACAGCTGACAGTTTAATCTGGACCACTCGTTATATGTAGACCTGCACCAGTTAAAAATAAAGTGTGCTTTAAAAAACATTTATATTTTCGGTAGTACTAGTTACAAGAGATTTGCAACGATATAGAATTATAGCGTAGAACCTGTTCATCAAAATATAGTATAGTAAAAAACTATAATAACCTTTCAATCAAAAAAATATTATCATTTTATTGAATAAACTGCGGCTACTCGTTCGGTTAATAACTGGTCCGTTTTCTTTACTAAAATGATCATATTTTTTTGATTGAAAGGTTATTATAGTTTTTTTACTATACTATATTTTGAAGAGCAGGTTCTACGCTATAATTCTATATCGTTGCAAATCTTTTGTAACTAGTCCTGCCCAAAATATAAATCTTTTTTAAAGCACACTTTGTTTTTAACTAATGCAGGTCTAGCTATATGGTCATTAATATTATCATGAGGTTGAAAGAATACACAAATAAGAGTGAGAGAAGTTTAAGATTTAGAAAAAATTTGTAATCGCTTGAATTTTATTATTCTGATCAGAGCTTCCACCTGTACAAGTCAGAAATCCGGAATCATAATCTTAAAATCCAGAAAAAGAACGGTAGTCCATTTTGAGTGCCTTTTTAAACCTTTTTCTACTGCGCAGAGTGTCAAAAAAGGTTTCTTCTCTAGCTCTATATGATTTTACTCGATAAAATACAAGAAAATAACAAACATAAATATAAATTTCGATTTTAATCGACACTTGTTTTTTTGAATGTAAATTTTTGATCCCAAAAGTAACTAGCACTTTAGTTGTCCTATACTATGAGAAAGATAACCTCCACAAACTATGGATAAAAAACACTTAGAAATCTTCATGATCAGGGAAAAACAGCCAAAAGCAGAAAATTTCTTAAAATTCAGGAGAAAACTCAAAAAACCGGAATTTTTTCGCATTTTCCGGACAAGGTGGCAGCCATGATTCTGGTACTAAAATTTTTCTAAGAAATTAATAAGAAAAAAAACTATACAAACCTAAATGTGTACAAATACCAATGACAATTAGCCATTCAGGTTTTTTCACTCTATCTCCGTCTGCTTGTTGATGTCTTAATTGGCTAACATCAACACCTTGTTCACGCATAATCTCTTCGGGAGTACGATGACGAACAAACACTGGTTTTCCTCTCCATTCAAATACAACATTTTTGCCTTCAGGTACTCCATCTAACGGTATTTCAATTTTTGCCACAGCTAAAATATCTTTGGCCGGTCCAACATAATCGACTATCGTACGAATAGAATATTTTGCTACCATTGCCGATGTAATGGCAATACCTAAACAGTAACAAAAAACAAATGAGTTTAAATAGATTTTCCTTCAAGAGAGTGATTATACCCATCGGTGCGAGATAAGAAAACGGTGATGTAGCATCACCAGAATCACGATAGGATTTATTTGGATCGCGTCTGTCTTTTCTACGATAATAATCGAAATTGGGTATCTGAATATCCGTATGAGCATAACGAACACTAATAGGATCTAAAAAAGAGGACTAGATAACATATAGACTTAAGCCACCAGAAGACAAATGGACGCATTACTTGATAAACTGGTTGATATTGATACATTTGATCTTGCAAGTTTTTTTTGCATTGAAACTGTTGTTAATGGCTGTCTATTTTTTGGTACTTGAATGTAAAGTGGTTGATCAGCTTCGTGTTCTGGATCATCATCGATATTCATAGGAATTGGTTTTGCCGTAGAACGAAGTAAATTGGTTGTCATTTGTGTAAAAATACGATTGCGAAGTTGAAGAGCCATGTTTTTTCTTGTCAATATATAGAACGTGGCTCAGTCTTTGTCGCACACGTATTTAAATTGGGTTATATGAAGGACAAAAAAACTATTATTGTAACAATTGGAAATTAATAAAAAATTTAATTTAATTTAATGAGACACATAATCACAGACATACAATAATCTTTTAAACTTCTTAATGAGTCAATTTAAACTATTTATCGTTTATTTCGTAACATCGAGAAAAAGAAAAACGGCTTACCATTTAGGGAATAAGAAACTAGTACACGAAATCAAACCACAATTGAACGATATTGAGAGGTTTTTCCTGTCATCTCCCAACTTAAGTTTTTATAACATTTCTTAATTTGAATTTGAAGATACAGTGAGTAGTCATGTTTTTTAACTGTCATATGATTAAGGGCACTTGTTTTATTTTGACTTATAACTCAAATACCGTCTATATCAAATGAATTAGTGGGATTCAAGAGAATCTAAATTACTAGTCAAACATAGCTACCACATTAAAATCATGCACATAGTGATGTGGTTAAATTAAATACATAAATCCATTTATAAGAAAGCAAAATCTGTTTCCTTTTAGCTTCAGATATCAATTCCTAAAAACTAATGGATGATGGAGCATATTCATATGGTGAAGCAGAATTATTCTGTTGCATATATAAGGAAGATATGATTGATTGGTTGAACTCTGAATCGAGCATTGGTTAAAGCGTTAGTGAATGACTGTCTGTCGCCGTATACCGGATCAGAAACAACAACTGTACTCGTAATAACGTAATATATTTCGTAATATATAGTTGAAAATTTTATAGAATTGAATCCATATAGGAGTGATAACTTAAACAATAACTAAAAAAAGAGATGCCACTACGTTTCATTTACATTTTTCTATGAGCGTAATGGTTTTATAAATAAAATCTTCATGCTGTTACTTTTTAAATATAATAAAAATCTAGTAATTTAAAACATATCTTCACCTTGTTTCTTTTCTTTCGACAGCCTGGATTTTTTCCACATTCTCGTAATTGTAGTTAATATCTCATATAACTTTTTTTTCAATCTCATTTAGCCTAGGTCTAGGAACGTACCAAGGTTATAAAAACAGGGAGAGGTAAATGAAAACTGGAGCCAAACGCCGTAAAAATTTTCGTACCAATGTTACTCATTTTCGATTTTTGTTTATCTCAAATGCAAGAATGTTTTCGCTCATGTTATTAAATGTAAAGCGAGAATGAGAATTTAGTTTAATTGAAGTTTGATAGGATTATATAACCCATAATGAAACAAAAAATAATTAAGAACAAAAATAGTTGTATACTGTCCTATGGGCCGAACAATCCAAGAGAACAAGGTAGATAAACTTTAAACTGACTCAAAATTCAAAAGACAATCATCTGACTAATAGAAAAATAGCAAAAAAAATTCATAATATTTTTATGATGTTACATCTCTTAACCATGTGTAAATCTATACATGATACACAAATAAATCAAAAGTAAGTGTCAAATAAGAACATGTTTATAAAAACGTATGAGATGTTGGTGTACTGGTACACGTTTGAAAACGTATTAGATCTTCAACTATTTTATCTATGTATGACTGTTCTGGATTAAACGCTGACATAAATGGAAAACACACCGTTAAGTGTGGCATAAATAAACTTAGCATATGAAACACATTTCGACGCAATGAAATTAAATCATTACGGTGTAAACAAGACGTTGTAGCTGTACACTCCATATCACTTGTACAAGCTGCAAGAACAGATGTTGTCGACGAAGAATTTGATGACGTATCGATTTTTGGATCTGGAGCAGATAAGCAGTCAGTTGATGAAATTACGCGTGATTGTTGTGCGTTCTCATGTATTCTTGGAGATGATATAGTCGGAGGTGATAAATGGTTATTGATACTATTCCCAGTTGTTTGTTCATTGGATGATGAAGATTGATCAATATGAAATAATGTTGAGTTACATTCACTTGTTGGTGCGCAAGAATTAACAACACTATCGTTATTTATATTATACGATGGTAATGGTAAATTATTTGATCGAATGTCATCATCTTTAGTATTCGAAGCTGATGCCATATTATCATCTGGAAAAATTCGTTTGTTATTAATATTTGTCTCTTCGCTTTCACCATAAGTAATTTTGTCTGATGTGTATTTTTGATTCATATGTTTTCTGATTTCTTTAGTATATTCATTACTATTTAATATTGACAAAATACTATTGTTCGATGAAGCATCTAATGGAACAAATGGTAAAAAATTGGTTATTGTTTGTTCTACGTTTTCGTATGTCGTAGACGACGTACGGCATTTAATCTTATCAAGTAATTGATGATATGAATTCATTGCATCTGACCAATTATAGCGAGCTTTTTTCACTATACTCGAATTCAATTGTTCTTGATAATGATTATCGGAATCATTTGATACATGTTGTTGTTTGGCCATTTCTCCAACATGCATTCGTTCATGTTTGGACATATGTCTATTTGTAAGAAAAATCCAATAAATAAAAATACTACTTAATGAAAACAAATGTCATACTACCTACGTACCTGATATTAATTGTTGAATAGTCACATTTATTACATTTAATTATGCGATTATTTAGATGACAACGCTAGAAACAGATAAATAATCTTCTTTCTCAAAAATTCTAGAGTATTTATTATTTATACCATATGACAATCGTATTTTGATTTTAATAATGTTGCATACGAACATAATTTACATTGTCTCACATTTAAATATTTTTCACCATGTTCTTGAAATAAATGTTCACGAAAATTATTAATATCTTTAAATGTTCGATGACAACGTGAACATACATGAAGTAATTTTCTATTATTCGATAAACAACTATTAAAAGAATAAATAAATATTTCTATTATACACATTAATATAGGAAAATATTTTTACCATACTTACCATGTATTTTGTTGAATACTTGATGGTGATGAATCCATTTAATATTGCATAAGAAATTAATCACTTAAATGTGTATCATAAATGTAAAATAAACGCAATAAATATTTTTAATCACCATTATTTTAGAATGAGACTTCTTAATTTATTCATTGTTATGTGAATATAACCGTACATGCGTCCAACTATTATGTATAGAAACTGACATAATAAAGATATATATATATAAATATATATATATATATATGCAAGTGCATCGCTAGTGTAGAAAGAGAGAAAGAAAAGTGAGATTTAGACAAATTTTACGTAATCCATTATAACGGAAGTGGACCGAAACTTAAGCCATATTAGATATACGAAACATGTCCGTGTACGTTAAATTTAATTGTATAATACACTTGTACATACAACATACAGATAGATAAATACATAGAGACAGAAATAAGAAGAGGAAGAAAACAAATTGAAAAGTGATACAACAGTTATAAAGAACTAAGAGAGAAGAAACAAGAGATTTTGTTTAAACAATGAACAGAAGGACTGTTTTATGAATGAAAGTTTTGTAAATAACAGAAATTTATACAAAAAATATTTTGTATCATCAAAAATTAGCAAGCAGAATATAACTGATTATTAAAAATATAAAAATTTTTATGTTGAATAATTTATAAGAGAATTTTTTTGTCTCTAGAAAAATATCGCTCATCTAATATCGAATAGCCGATACTTTGAATAGAAGAACACTTATTTTCTCACAATTAAGCTTTTAACTTTCGTACAATTATTAATTTATTTTTATTTTTCTCTATGTTAATACTTTTAATCCCATGTTGTAACTATTCTGTATAATTGTTAACTTACACCACTAATGGATAGTTAATCACTCCATGGTGCAGCACACTTCGGTTGCATTAATAAACGTTTAAAATAACATCGATAATAAACAGTGGAGTTCAACATTTTAGTTCGTTAATTACCCTATTGAATTTTCAAAGGACAAAAAAACAAAAAAAGAAAAGAAAAGAAGGAAACAAATAATCCAAACAATTGAGAAGAAAAGATTTAATTTTCTTACAAAATATTGAAGGATACATTAAAGATGCTATGTTACACTATATAGTCTTTATCGTTAAGCCTCTAAGATTATTGTATCGTAAATAATGCGTAGTTCTATCATTTGTATCTATTAGCAGACAGACAAATATATATGATTAACATAGTTTTTTAAAACTAAAAAATATTTCTTGAGGATATTTTACAGATTTTTTTGTTAAAAATATCAATCAGAATTATAATTGATAGAATATTCTAAAAAAAGTGTATGAGATTGTAAAGAGGAACTTTTGTTTCATTACAATATGGTTCTTGATATTCTATAGGCCCTTTTTTTTTGTTTATAGACGATTTAGATATGACCCTTTACATGAAAACTGATTATAGGATGATGATAATAATAATAATAAGAAGAAGAAGAAAAATATGCCACGATCACCGTAACATTTCTCTTTGTGTAGCCTTAGGGTTTTCCTGTGAATTCTTCTTTTAGATCGATTCTCGTTCTCGTTCACTTTAGATATTCTATAGTCTATTGTGAAGGTCGTCTATGCTATTTTGACAATTCTCTCTCGTCATTCTATTTATCCTGTTTGAGATGAAAATAAATTTAACAAGAACTCTCGATTAACATGAAGTGAATATTTTGGGATCATTTCCAATATTTAATTTAATACGTTTTTGTTTTTTTTATCAATAAAAAACAACAACAACAACAACAACAACATTTGCCAGTGGTGAGAAATATTTATGACACAAAAACAAAAATAATAAATGACAAGAACATCATTAGATGCGTGATGTTCTATTTTTAATCCTTTATTTCTATAACTTACTAGAAATTTATTCAATTTTTTTTCATTTTTTTTTTCTATTTTTTTATTTATTTTTATGACTGACATTTCGAAAAGCGACAATCAGAAAGAACAAAGATTAAAACAACTGATAAAAAATTTTAAAAATAAAATGAATTCTTTTTCTTCTTTCTAGAGTGCTCGACTCTGAATTCAAATAATTTTGTTCATTTCATTATCAATGATAATATAAAAATAGTGAGAGAGAAGAAATACAAAAGAATATGTTGTTGTTGTTTTTTTTAAATTTTTTTATCAATTGTACATATTTTGTTCTGATGAAGAAAATTTCTTCTCTCACAATCATAAAAGAATCAGAAAAGTAAAAACAAGTTCAATCTATTCTGAAAATAACTTTAACATGTTATTGAGTCGTTTAGTAAACTGTTGCTAAATCTTCATTTTTTTTTTTTTTTTTTTGTTTTCATATGCATGAATTAAAGAAACTAACAACAGATTGTTAATTATTATAATCACTGAACGATCCAGAATACAGCTGTTCTATCATCTAATAAAAAACAAAAATAATATAGATAATATGACAGATATAGGGATAAAAAATGGAAGAATAAACAGGAGTAAAAAAAAAATTCATTTGTTTTTCTGATGGCGTATTCTGTGTTTAATCATGTTTCGACGTTTCAATGCATACTTGAACGTGTTTTAAGCCATAATTAAATGTAAGTAAGAAAGTTTTATAATCGTATGTGATAAATGTAGCATCAAACGTATCTTTTTTTTAACATCTTTTTTATCCATAAAGATATGGTCATTTTTTTATATAGTCCTTTATTAGGATAAATTTTACTTTATACACGTTAAAATGCATTTTTATTTTTTCAAATGCACTTAGATAACAGAACAAACTCATAGAATTTTGTAATAAATTTAATAAGAAAAATCTTTTATATGCTAGACTGATTTAGAATAATGATACATAATGACATCATCAACAATATTTCCTTTGAAATCATTAATGTTAATAGTTGTCATTTATATTGTCTTTATGGACTATAAAATATGCAAAAACAAGTCATCGTTGTTTATTGTTTTTCATTACTTTTCTGAAATTATTTTATTCTAATTAATATATGTTGTCTTTTTCGAAATAATACATGATGAGTCACTCACATTGCGCTTTTAAATACAAATAATTGTTGTTTTTGTCTGATCACAAATTGAAATTTAAGCTTTATTATGTAAATTGAATTATTATGATTTTTAAGTCTTTGGAGGAATAAAGTTTTGTCTAAGAGACACAACATTTACTTCTTTTTTGATCTTCATTTTTCAATATATTATTATAGTTTTAGATAATAATTATAGCGAAAAATAAGAAATAAAATAAATCCATTTTAGACAAAAATTTACTCAGAATTACTGTACGTATTGGTCTTATAGATGAATTTTATTGTTTTCAATTCAAGACTTGTTACAAAATTTGTTCACAATATATCAAAGATCTTCTGCATTTTTAGAAGGAAATATTTTAGTGTCATTTAATATTTTATGGACAAAAAGTATATACAATGGGCGTATTAAATAAAAATACTTTGTCGATTATTCAATAACTCTTCACACGATTAAGCAAGTCTACGCATGCATCGGATATAAACGATAAATTTCACCTTTTTTCCGAAACGGATTGAATAAAAAGTACGCATATTAAAATTTTTCTAATCACTCGGTTTCACAGAGCGAACATTTTTCTACAAGATGAGCTATGTATTCTTCATCTTGGATCTAGTACTTATAAAAAAAGATTTCTTAAAAGTTCCATGATCAGTTATAACCGATTCAGGACTCTTCGTCTAAAAGAGGCAGAAATAGAAAACATGAAAGCTTTCGACATAGCTCATCTTGTAGAAAAATGTTTGCTCAGTAAAACCCAGTTGTTAGAAAATTTTTAATATGGGAACTTTTCATGCAATTCGTTTCAAGAAAAAGATGATATTTATCGGTTATAACCGGTGCATGCCGCCTAAGGAAGTCATTTTCACCTTGTTTGCACAAGTTGCAAACTTTTATTATATATTCTGACGTCTTTGAAGAAATTTTCCATTTGGTTTTCTTCAGGGCAAAAGAATAAAAATAATATTAAATTAATCTTAATGACATGTGACTTATAAGCGATAGACATCCTGATAACTAAAGGATGAAGTCAATTATAATGATGTTTTTGAGAGCGTCGGAGTATATTTCATCTAAGAAATACCTATAGATCCTGTTATTTCTCTTTTATCCGCTTTATATCTAAACGATAGATCGAACGATAAATTATCTAAACTTCAGGCATAAATAGATGTTCTTCTACTGCTACTACATTTTCCTTGACATTTTTATTATAAATAAAGTCTGTGATTAAATCATATTGTTTAGATTAACTATAAGCTCTAATAAACCAAACATCTAACAGTTTAAGCTAGAAATAATCATAGATTTAACACTACATGAAAATAAAGTTACTGTAGCGTGCACTAATTCAATGAAATCTTGTTCTTGTATGGCTTACGGTGTCAGTTTTATAATTTATTTTTTTTTATTATTATTATTATTATTATTCGTATATGTTGAGAATAAACAATATATTATTTTGTTTTTATTTTTAAAACAAAGACATTTGAATAGATTGCTTATAACTTCTAAAATAGTTAAAATAAAGTTTTTAATTGAATCATACCATACAGGATCTATCATTCCTAAATATTATTTAATAGAAAATTTTATGAGTAGTATGTCGTTTATATAAAGCAGATAATTTATTATTTTGAACAATTCTCTAATTATAGAATTCTAATCGGAGGGTGGGAGGAAGAGAACGAAATGGATTTTATATTTTCAAAAATTTCTTTATTAATGAATACACCAATTAATATTGCCCACTTAATTAATATTGAGCATCGATTTGAAGTACAACAAATTATTGAGTTTTATTGATAGTTCAACAATCCTCAATATCAGTTATACCATATTTTTGAAATTCAATATAGAATTTTATTTCTTACAGAATATATATAGAATAGTATTATGTTTCAATAACGGTTGGCATGATTATCCGAAAAAAAAGAGAAAAAAATCTATTCTAAATCGAGAAGATGTTAGAATTTAAAAGAACAAGAGTACCTAATGTACAC